GGTCTAGCCAATCAACTTATTCCAGCCCTGAGGTCATAGTAATTAGTTCAAGAATGGAAAAAATGCTTCAAACCAGATAAATAAGTCAAATACCGAACATTAATTTTAGAAATAGAAAAGGCACTGACTTTAATTACACTAATATAGATGTTGCTATGAAAGGATTTTTACATCATGGCTGTATATCACTAGATATCATGGCTGAATATCACTAGAGAGGGGCTGGCCACAGCAAAAGGCAATATGAGAACAAAAATCCAAGAGATGGATCTCCATAATGAATCTTGAATCCCTGAAATCTAAGCCATAAGCTCAGTCCCTTTTTGCTTTAGTTGTTTTTCAGGTGGGTTTCGTGTTTGTTGCCCAGTGATAGCCTCAAGCAATAATGTTCCTATGTATAGCCTCTGCCTTTTCATGTAGAAATTATAGGCATGTGCCACTGTACCTAGTTTATTGATCGGATTAGGAGGACCTCACTGACTCTTTGCCTGAGCTGACCTTAACCATAATCCTCCCTCTCTTCACCTTCCAAGTAGTATCTGGAATTAGAAGTGTGAGACATTATGCCACCTGGACAATCTGGGAGTGGAGAGGAGGTGCTGGCAACGTCCCTGAGCTCTAACTCAAAGCCAGCACTCTACCATTTGAGCCACAGTTCCAGCTAACTGGTGGCTAACTGGAGATAACAGTCTCACCAACTTTCCTTCCCAGGCTGGCTTTGAACTGTGAGCTTCAGGTCTTAGCCTCCTGAGTAGCTAGGATTAGAGGTATGAGCCACCAGTACCTGGCTGGACATTTTTCCCCTTTAACTCGTGAGAATGTGTAGGCAAAAGACAACTGTCTCTACATGCCAAGTCTGGGATCACTAAATGAGAGTGTGTTCATTGTCCTATTTCAAGATTTAGCATCTGCTTCTTTGTGTTGACATAGCTCTCCTGGCCAAAAAAAATACTATGACAATATTTTTTCCTCCAAATTTATATACTAACTCTGTAAGCCTGGAGAAGATAAACTATAGAGTCTACAATCATGAAACAATATCACCATCCACAAGCCTCACAGGTGAGATAAATAGGAGATCCATATACAGGACACATATAAAAGTTTCTTTAAGGGATAAGTACCTTATTGCTGACCTTACTACTAAGGATCATGGAATTCTAGGCAAAAAGTGAAAACAAATGCACTCTCAACTGGCACTTGTTTTATCCAAAAGTTAAAGCTTCATAGTCCATATAGAATAAGAAAATGAACACAGAGATCATGGGCACTTTTTGAAGTAATCCTTTTCATTTGAAGGGTAATTACATAAGAGTTAGGCTAAGCAAATAAAATGGCAGAATCAAGAAGAAAGCCTAAATGGACTGAGAGCTTATTTCAGATCTCAATTACTCCTTCACTAATGATATGTAGTATACCCAGAAGATTAATAAATAACAGCTTGGTGCATATGTAATTATTATAGCACTATTTACTGCTCACTTCCTTAAGATGCCATTTAAATGGCTGGATATAAGCAGGCCTTAATCCTGAGAAATTCTGGAACAATTTGCCCCATCCTTTCTCTGATGAGAACCTATGACTAAGTTTTAGGAGTTGATTCAAAGTCAAGGAGTTGGAAAAATAATGGGTTGACCACCTAGTGGGATATTTTCGTAAGGAAGAAGAGATCCATTTGTTTTATATATACATCTGTCATTTTTCTTAATTGTAATTGAAGTCAAGAATGGGATCTTCAGTGATACAGAGTTAAAAAACTTATCTTTCAAGCACTTTTCAGATGTGTTCAGTTATTACCAATTATATACAGATAGAAGATTAGCTAACACCAAAGATCAAGGTGGATGAGAAATGGAGAGATCTCCAGCCTAGAATATTTTCCAATCAAGATTCAGGAGACTCAACAAATAAACCCTCTAGATGTCTTCTAGAGGCAGAACACGGCAGTACAAAGATGAATGGCAACGAGGGTGATTTAATCAGATTTTCTGAAATAAACTCCAAAAGTATAATTACTATGATACCAAAAACAAACAAACAAAACCCATAAAATAGAGACAAGCATTCTCCAGATACCCAAGGTTGAGACCTGGAATTTCTAGGTTGGAAGAAGAAAACATATTTGCAGGAGTTAAATATATACTAATACTAGAAGCAAGAAGTGGGTGAGCTTTTCAATTCACTAGGCATATAGACCATACACACACACGCGCGCGCGCGCACACACACACACACACACACACAAAGACAATAGAAATGTGTCATATATGTGACACATAATATATGTGGCCATAACATAAGAACCATAGATCTCACTTATGTTATTAGCACAATTGTTATTGTTGATATACATTAAAAGGTACCTGTCAATTACTGTTGTTCTGGCTTCTCATGTGGCTAAAGAAATACTTTTTTAGTGTAGACCGGTAAATTAGTATGAAAGAAAGAATGCAGCTGTGATACTGGTAGGTTTTGTTTAGAGAACCGTTAGGCTACATTGATGGAAGAGTTGGTAAATGAAAAAAAAGGAGGAGCAAACAACAAAAAGAGAGCAATCATAAAAAGATCTATCTTACACATCTATTTAAAGATGGAATACTAAAAAAGCTAGCTGTACAAAGAGGCAATAAATAGCTTGTAATAAAAACTTATACTAATAATCCTAATGGTCAACCAGAAATTGATTAAAGCAAGACACTAAATCTCACATAATACTGAAAAAGTCAAACAAGTCACAAGAGTTTATATAGTGTATTACTAGAATATTTTTTATAAAGGTGTTAGTCACACATCTTCCAAGGAGCTACTGTTGTATTCCTATGTACTGTATATGTATTTTGTTCTACATTCATTAAGAATTATAAAAAAGTCAGGTACCAGTGGGACTCACACCTGTAATCCCAGATACTCAGGAAAATAAGATTCAGAGGACTGAAATTAGAAACCCATCCAGAGAGAAAAAGCCTTGAGACTCCATCTCCAAAATAACCAGCAAAAAACCAGGTTGAAGGTGTGGATCAAGTGGTAAAGCACCAGCCACAAGCCACTAAGCTTGAGGCCCTGAGTTCAAACCCTAATGCCAATAAAAAACAAACAAGAATATTAAGATAATATTTTCCATTTATGTTCCATAGGACTGTTAACTAAAGAAATATTATAGATGGCTCTTTCCTAAAACTTTGCTCTGGTCAGGAAGACCAAGGAATACTGCAAAAGGTACATTTTTAGATCTCCACTTTGCTGGATGTTTCTATCAATGAGTATGACCACATCAAACCTCCTTGCAAGGCCTCTACCCTATTTAAGATGCCCTCTTTAAGCTTCTCTTAAGTTCTCTCCATTCAGTGAAAAGAATGTGTCTTCACATACAGTTTAGCCTTCCAGATTAAAAAAACCACTTTGTGCATAGGGTCATGATGCTTGTCTGGATCAGCAACACCACTTTGGCCTGGGGACACCCACACGTACACATCCTGGTGCACATCTCCATTCAGTGTTCTTGAGCCCACAGACTGCGCAAGCAGTGAGGCTGCTTATTTCCTGTCATTTGCAAAACCAGTACAGCAATGAGGTTTTCACAGTGCGATTAGAGAATGCTCAAGTAATCTGATCATGATCAAGCATTCTCATGGGTTTCCAGCTCAAAAGTCAGATTTTCTCCACAGCACTTGAAAGCTATCATGAGTTGACTCTTATAATCACCTCATTTTTCTAGTCACTTGTGTCAAAACAAATGTCTGCTTCTTTATAACTGGCATTTTGTGTGTTCCCAGCGGCAGAGACAGCTGCATTCACTGATTTGGGCGCTTGTGTCTTTTCTTTTCAACTTCTCACTCTTTCTAAACCAAGTGAGATCGTAGAACATGAATGTTGCTTCTATGTACACAGACAAAAATAACAGTGTTCTTTCTGTGTCTTAGCTTCAGAAATGTCCACAACGTTCGCTGTTTAACTTGGCTTAACTAGGCAGCTGCTTTGGTTATTTGGTTTTGCTGAATTCTGCCAGAAATAAGTAAATAAATAAAAGATGAAAAATAAATAAATAAAAGATGGAAGAGAAAGACAGAAGCACAGACAAAGATAGAGAAAGGGAGAGAGGGAGAAAAAGAAAAACAGATAAAGGGAAAGAAAGAAAGAAAGAAAGAAAGAAAGAAAGAAAGAAGAAAGAAAGAAAGAGAAGGAAAGAAGGAAGGAAGAGCAAAAGAAAATCACCTAGATTTAAAAGCTTTTTATGAAGGTAGGTGACTGAGGGCAGAGGAAGAATGTATATTCAAAATGCCAAATAAACAGCTTTTGCCAAGCTGACTGTTTCTGTTCTAAGCATCTGAGGATCGAGGCCACTCATTTAGTTATGTGCCATGATCTTAATCAGATAATACCACATACCCATCCTTTTCTGTAATTTAATGAGGAGAAGAAAAACCAGAGTATTCTAAACCAATGTCTTAAACCAGAGCATTCATTGTATTAGATTGATTCGCAACCTTAGAATGCAATTATATATTTCAAAAGAATTCCAGAACAAGCTAACTAATGTTTGGTTAAAGAAATATGACTTCATATCTCAAGGTATATGAAGATCATATTACAAATATCAAATTATATTATGTTCAGTGAATAAACTGTAAGCATGAGTATACTTGAGACTGCAAAAGCTAGTGGGAAAACAGAGAGATGTAGATAAAATAAAGTCAAAAGAGAAAAATATAAAATGTTAACTACCATAACTATGGTTATACAATCTTAAAATCCTGTAATGAAATGACTATTGATCTTGGATTAGGGCCAAGACTTAGTGAGCTTTCTTGAAAATAATATTTTAAATATATTTGTACAAGAGCGAAGAACAATATTAGCAATTAAACAATAGTGAAAAGTTCACCTTAAGACCAAAAATACTTAAGAGTTTTAATCAAAAGGAATTTGTAGCATTTCAAAAGCATATTAAATTCCATGATGGGATGATTCATATTCTTATAAAGAGCAATAATTGCACTTACCTCATTCAAGTCTTGCTGAGTTTCAAAAGCATCCTTTGGCCAAATGGAAGCTCTCTGGTCTAGTCTATAAAACATAAAGGAAAAAGAAATTAAAGAAACTTTTTTAAAGAAACCTTTCAAGAATGTACATTTGAAGCTGGTAGTGACAGATCTGGTCAGGCTTCAGTTAAAAAATGTTTAGTAATATCCCACTCACCAGAGAATAAAATTCAGACACCTTACAATGTCCGGGGACACATTACTGTGTTTGATCTCCTTCACAACCTGACCTCACTTCCCACCACTCTCACTCCTGTTCCCACACTCCAGTCACCTTAGCCTTCCCTCCTCTGAACATACCATACTTTCTTTCTGCTCAAACCTTTGAATTTGTGTCCCTGACCCCACACTTCTCTTCCCAGATTTCCTGTCATTGCATGCACATCAGTTCAGCTCACATGTCACCTCCCCAAGGAGGCCTTCCTGACCTCTGCAACTAGAAGTAGCCTGCCTGTCACTCTCCAACACACTGTCTACATTTTCTTCCTAGCACTTCTCACAATCTGAAATTATGTCTGTTTATTACAGTTCCACTCTAAATTGTCTACCCTATTATCTACACTGACAAATCCTCAATAACTATAGCACAAGTTCAACAAGGTTCTGAGTGAATCAATGTGATTGAATATAACTGTTACAGAAAGATACTCTTTCTGTAACAATAGACCACTGAAGCCAGCTCATCTCTTACTTTACACAAAAAATGTCTTATCACTGCACAGTTACCTATTGAAACTGGATTTTACAACAACTAATTTCCCAATTGAATACAAAGGACTTTAAAAAAAAAGGCATATCACTTTAGTCAACTCTTGGCAGATGCTTAGGTCCAAATCATGATTTGTCAAACATGACGATCCAGTGGCACTGCTATGCAGAATTCAAGGTTGTCTGCAGCAATTTGCATGATGTTATGTAATAAACATATTAAATTACAAAAGGCCAGCTGTCTTAATGAATAAGAAAATTAATCATTAAGTTTTTTATTAAAAAGATATTGCAGAATATTTTTTCATAATTTTTATTCTTGAAACTTGAAGATACATATATTATTTTCTCTGAATGAAAAACAGGATTAATGATTTCTACCTGCCATTCTGCATTTAGAATTGTACACTTAAAAATGCAATATGCCCAACTTCTTCAAAACATTCTAAAGAATGAAAATTCCTTCAAGCCATGGCCTCTGCTAACTATGCAAATAATTGCTTCTAATGCAAAACACAAGAAAATTGAGAGGTGATCCTTATATAGCACCCTGCACAGGAATCAACTCCAAATGGATCAAAGACCTCAGAGTCAAAGCAGACACTCTGAAAACATTACAGGATGGAATAGGAGAAGCCCTAGGTCTCCTTGGCACAGGCCAAAATTTTCTCAATTTTAGAGACCCAGAAACACAACAAATCAAAGAAAGGCAGAGAGGATTATGTGAAATTGCAGAGCTTCTGCATGGCAAAGGACATAGCTACAAGATCAATAAAAAGCCCACAGATTAGGAGAAGATTTTCACTAACCATACAATGGACAAGTGTCTCATATCTAAAATATACTTGGAACTCAAAAATTAAATCCCCCAACAACAAATCCTCAAAGAAACAACTGCTCAATAAATAAGTGGGCTAAGGACTTAAAGAGAAACTTCGCTGAAGAGGAAAGAAGGATGGCCAATAGACACATGAAGAAATGCTCAACCTCTCTAGCCATACAAGAAAGGCAAATCAAAACAACATTGAGATACCACCTCACCCCAGTTAGAATGGCTATAATCAAGAACTCTACTAACAACAGATGCTGGAGGGGTTGTGGACAGAAGGGAACTCTATTGCATTGTTGGTGGGAGTGTAAACTCGTTCAACCACTTTGAAAAGGAGTATGGAGGTTCCTCAAAAGACTCCACATAGAGCTCCCCTATGACCCAGCAATCCCACTTCTGGACATTTACCCAAATGATCACAAACAAGACCACACTAAAGCTACCAACACGACTATGTTTATTGCAGCATTATTTACCATAGCTAAGATATGG